TGCTCTACTTGACTGACCATCTCACCCAGCTTGCAACGTGGATGATAGAACAGGGCTTCTAGACTTCAAGAAAATTGTTTATGTCTCATTACTGCAGTATCTTTTTGATCAAGACTGGGCCGATGTGTTTGAATGCATTGATGTTGATGAGATGACTGTGCGTTTTTGTAGCATTATTCAACATTGGTTGGAATCAAATGTTCCTGTCAAAAGACGACCAATTATCCCAGCTTGAAGTACTCCTCTGCTTAGAGTGCTGAAGCGTGAGCATGACGCAGTCCAGAGAAAACTACGTCGACACAGAACAGCTGACACGAAGCGTGACTTCAAGCGTGCCAGTATCGCTTACATTAAAAATAGCAGTGCCTTTTACAAATCACACGTCCTCAGAGACCAGTGGAATTTGCGGCGTAACCCCCGAAATTTTTGGAGCTTTGTCAACAGCAAAAAAAAAATATTCGAGTATACCGTCCAACATGCTACTCGATGGGAAAGAGTCCACTTCTCTTAACGAAGCGTGTGAGATGTTTGCTAAACACTTTGCATCTGCCTTTGATAAAAATATGACAAGTGACGTTGAAGCTGAATCTGCTGCCTCTGATACGCCTAGTGACATAGTGGAACTGAGCGCATTCGAAGTAACTCGGGATGTGGTATTTTCAGCAGCAAGGAGACTGAAAACCTCACTCTCTCCTGGTCCAGATGGAATTCCGGCAGAGGTGTTCTGCCGTTGCTCAGCTGCCTTAGCAGAACCTTTAGCAGCCATATTTAATGCATCCTTGGAGCAAGGAAAATTCCCAATATTGTGGTTTTCAAAGCTGGCAATAAACGGGATATTAAGAACTATCGAGGTATCACCAGTCTTTCGGCAGCATCCAAACAGTTTGAGATCATCTTGAGCGAATTTGTCCTGAATCGCTCAAAGAACTACATTTCAACTGACCAGCATGGATTGATTCCCGGTAGATCGGTAGCTACTAACCTTTTGGATTTCACCAGTACATGCATGGAGGATAAGGCACAAGTCGACGTCATATATACTGATCTGAAAGCCGCATTCGACAAATTCGACCATAAGGTTCTGTTATGCAAGCTTTCCCGACTAGGAGCGTCTGAGCAACTTAGGTCGTGGTTACATTCCTACTTGACTGGACGAACTCTTCGAGTACGACTAGGATCTTGTGTCTCTTCTACGTTTACCAGCACCTCTGGTAACCTGGGTCCACTTTTGTATTCGTTATTCTTCAACGATGTAGCAGCTTTGTTGGGAGTTAAATGCAAGCTCGTTTATGCAAATGATCTTAAGCTTTACGTCATAGTTCACTCGATTGAGGATTCGTCTTCAAGCTCTGCTAGATTTGTTTGTGGATTGGTGCCGTCGCAATAAGCTCATCATCAGCGTTCCAAAGTGTGCAGTGATAACGTTTCACCGCGCTAAGAGTTCAATCCTTTACGACTAAGGCATTGACAATGTAACGCTTCGCAGAGTAGAACGTATGACTGATCTTGGTGCTCTTTTGGACCCAAACCAGACCTTCAATCTTCACTATTCCTCGATCATCTCTAAGGCGAATCGTCAACTGGGATTTATTTTGAATATTGCACGAGATTTCAAAGACCCTCACTGCTTGAAGGCACTATATTGCTCTTTAGTTCGGCCCATACTTGAGAATGCATCTGTGGTCTGGTCTCCATATGAGCTAGTGTGGAATCTCCAAATAGAACGTGTCCAGAAAAGATTTTTGAGGTTGGCTTTGCGCAGCCTGCCGTGGCGCGATCCAATGAATTTACCACCTTATGCAGACCGATGCATGCTATTGGACCTGGATACGTTGGAACACAGAAGAAAAATGCAACAAGCCTTATTTGTAGCGAAACTTTTAAATGACGATGTGGACTGCCCTCAATTAAACTTCCGTGTTCCTCAAAGGATGTTGTGGCAATCATCCTTACTACAACCAAGATTACATCGGACTGCATATGGAAACCATGAGCCAATGTCTGCGATGATTCGGGCATTCTCGGCTGTGGAAGAAGCATTTGAATTCGGAGAAACATCGAACCAATTTCGAAACCGATTGAGAAGATTGTGATTATTTTTGTAATCTGTTTATCTGTTGCTTTTTTTGTGTATTATCTAAGTTTTATTCATTAAGACAACATGAATTACAATTAATAAATAAATAAATAAAACATAGTTGGAGATGCTTAGCTACAAATATCACACTAAAGGTGGTAATTTTTATACAATAGATGAAGAGATGAAAGTATAGAGTTGATAGTTCCGTTAGATTACGGCAATGTGAAAATTGTATATAGAGAGTAGAAAGCGAGCAAAGGTCAATTTTGACGAAGGCACGAATCAGGTTGATCAAAATTGACCTTTGCTCGCTTTCTACTCTCTATATACAATTTTCACACTGCCGTACTCTAACGGAACTATCAACTCTATACTTTCATCTCTTCATCTATCGTATAAAAATCTAAGTCTAATAATAAGTCTGATATTTGTCGTTAAGCATCTCCAACTATGTAAACCGTTAACTTCGCGGATGAAGTATACAAACATGAATAGTTAAAGTACTATTAAGAAGTTAAGTTTAGAGGTTTATGAACTTTAGAGAAATTTCGAGTACTTGGGAAAAATAAGATAACTGAAGAGCAGTTACATTAATATCAAGAAAAACAAAAAAAAAAACGTTGAGAATCTTAGAACAATAAAGGAAAAATAAGTTGAACATTTCGGGCTCAAATTTTCACCACACTTTGGAAAACTATATATATGTTATATGTTTTCAAGGGAATATGATTTGGACAAATATTTTTTTAGATATGACCAATACTATTTAATATTTTTTATTTTTTCTTGATTTCCTGGCACAATATTATTGTTATATTATTTTTCACATGTTCTGGGCAGGATTCTCATTATTTGAAATCATAACTAGCTCATTTATTTACTTCTGTCCATAATTTAATTGTGATCCTAAAAAACGAAAAATACGTTCCTATGAGATACAGCCAAAACGTTGTGCTTTAGAAGTACGATGAAATCGGATAGATTAGCAGGTATATAAAATTTCAGTTGTGGATGACAGCTGCTACTTGACTAATGCCCTTATTAGAGTAATTAATTTATTTTTTAGATACAATCTCACGAGCAAGAATGCTTTTTTTTATTTTAGTTAAATTTTTCATTTTTGAAAACACACTTTCCATTCATGAACGTAATCAGTCTGTTTATTGTAGTTACTATGACAAAAACAAAATAAGAGTACAACTATAAGAATCTACATTAAAAAAAAACTTCATATTGACGTATTAAGATCACGAATAGCTTAATTGGTAGTGGAGCAATCTCTTCTGAAAGTTGAAATATTTAAGAATTTCGAAAATCCAGGGTTGTAGCCCAGAAGGATGTAGGCACTTTAAAGCAAAATAAAAAGGCGTTTGTTCAGAATGCCAATATAAGCGTTTTGGCCAAGTATGACTCAAATCGGTGACATCGACCACAACTTATTAAGTTTCTGTACCGACTTGAGCTGGGATGACCCATACACTATGAACACACCAAATTTATTGTATTTGTGAAATCCGGGTTGTATGGATTATTGACTGTCGGATTGGCGAAGGGATGCTTATCACTCCACATCCAATCGACCCACTAGATTAAACCTCCACTGCCTGTCTCATTCATCATTTACCTTTCAATTTGATCCACAATGAACCCGTCTTCTTCGAAAATAACTTTCCATACTACATCGAATGCAGCAATCACGTGTTCATCCCTCAATTTTGCAAGAAAAAAAAAAGTTTCAATTTCCTCTGTACCTTTATTGTTCAACCTGATTCTCATGACAGCGATCAAAAACCCAGCCTGAACAAACCCATCGAAAATCGATACAATCAATATTCCCAACGCACGATGACTCCACCCTTTTTGGACGGGTTAAACAAAGTTCACTTTTCATTCATCCAGGGCCCCCGGAAAGAAGTGCGCAAAGTTAAGAGGTCAGGTCACGCATTTACGAGGTGGTCGTCCGCATGGGTCGTCGATCTTGGCTTGGCTCTAGATTAAACGATGATGTCCGGAACGAGAACGCGCACCGACAAAGCCGTTTAGGCCAGGGGCGGCCTAAAGTTAGTTATCAAGAAGCTTTATTGATTTATTTTCTCCCGGTTTTCCTTCGCTTGTTTCGGTTGCTGATGGGTTGCTCATCCTTTATCCGCGCGCCGTCGTACTTTAAGAGTTGATTGAACGGTTTCGGATCTCGATAATTGATCAAAGCGTAGCGCGGATCCGGGTAGATGGCCATGGCCTGTGGTCTCCCGGTTCCCGGTGGCTGGTGGTGTGATCTTCTCAAAAAAAAATTCTCGAGAAATAGTTAACGCTAGGCCAACTCTAGCCAAGTGCTTGTTTACGTCCGGCACCATTTGCTGAAATGGAAGAATTATTAATTTGCGCTGAACTGGAGATCAAAGATTCCCGTAAATAAAATCAGATGCATGGGAACAATTGATCGGTGACGTTTGAGCGCGCCCGTTGATTGGCTAACCGATTCCAAGAATTTCAAACAAACAAGCCAGTTACAGTTTCTGTATCTGAACAAAGATCGATCAAAGAGGGACGTGTCATACGTGCCACATGCATGACCGACGACGACAACAACAACGACAAGCTATTGAGTCATACGAGGGAGTGAAGTGAGTTACTTTACATGCGCATGTTTTTCGTCATATGGCTGGCAGCGCGTAATTGAAACCCATCACCTCTCTCGTTGATCGCTTTGATGATCAATCTCCCACGCGAGTCTCCGCTGCCCGACTGGGTGGTGCAACGGAGCCGTATAATCGTGAATCGAATCGTGTGTCCCAACCGCGCGAAATCTAGTTCTTAAGCAAAACAAATTAAAATTAATAGCAGCTCATATTTCTCATGTCATCATTGAATGGACTCACCGTGTCTCACCCCATCTTCCCGATCTTTTTCATCTTTGCAGAACCAACCAATTTTTCCCCGGCAGCAGCAGTAGCACCGTTGACGAGTGCCCACCATCTCAACAGTAACAACAGTAGCAACACCAACGACGACGACGACGACATCGACAACGACCAAGGAGTCGACCAGACTGTCACGATTATGGACCAGCTGAACAATGTGGTGACAACGACGACGACAGCGACCGCCATTGCCAGTACCGTGCACCAGTCGACCGGAGGGGGGATCATCATCAGCAACAGTAGTACGAAAGTAGCGCCACCGGCATTCTCACGGCTGCCACCGGACGGGCATGAGTTTCCACCGAACTTCAGTGAACCCACGCCGAACGGTATGACCGTCACACAGGCCCAGACCATGGCGGCGGCGGCGGTAGCGATCGCGGCCAAAGGAGATAAACATTCCAGGTAGGTTGCCGTCCTTGTTGTTGTACTTAAGTTATCGAAGATGCTAGGGGGAGTTGTCAGCGGTTGGGTTATAAAATTTGATCGATGAATTAATTGAATCACGTAATGGAATAATATACAATAAGTTACAATGAGTAGCAACGGGAAGGATTTAGGTAACCGTTGGTTTTTGTCTGTTTCTTTGTGGCAATATTCAAACTTACACACAAAGATTTTTTTTTTTCACTGAAATTTGTGAAATTTTACCGAAATCTCAACAGCTGAACGTTCGGTGATTTTTTACAGATTTTCTGTGATTTTTCAACGAATGAATAGATGAAATAGATGCGAAGTCATGTTTGAGCAAAACATACCTGCTATTAACAAATTGAACCTAATTTGAGTTGGGAATGCAAAAGCAAATAATAGAAAGATAAATTACGATTACACAACAAATGAGGTAGCCTCAAAGTTGAGATTAGTTCACTCATATTCTTGGAAATGTAGTTAACCTTAAAACTTTCGGAGATTTTGTTTTCTAATATGAGCAACATCTCGATGTACATATGAAATTAGTACACGGAAAAAAAAATTTAGTTGCCATTGGGAATGAACATTACATTTTTCCATTAACAAAACCGATGATATCATTTTGAATTTCACATAACATTCATGTTCTGTCCTATATGATAAATCACTTAAATTTCATTTGACAAATAAGGTTCATGTGATTTTGTGGTGCAATTCCCAATTATGATATCACATGAAAGTTATGTGAAATTCTAATTTTTTTTTCCTTTTGATATGTGATTCATTGTTTGAGTGTATACTTCTAAAATGAGTAGATTTTTCGTCGATTTTTGTTATATTCGAAAAAAATTATGAGGAAAATTTTACTCAGTCTACAAGTAAACTACGTTTTCTAGAGTTTGAGTAATTGAAACTTAAATTTGAGTCGATCTTATATGCCATGTAGTGTGGTAATCCGTTAGTTACTTAGTACTGGTCCTTTTGCACGCCAGCAGCAGGGGAAACAAGCACATCTTAGTGAGAAATTCAACTTTTCCCCATCTAAATATGGAGAAATCGACAGTCAAAAGAACAATTTATAAGCTTATTAATACGATTTTAAACACTTCGTGCTCAAAAAGTGTTCGCCCTTGAAGCACAGCAGTGTGTGGTGCCGAGCCTTGCAGTTGCGACACGAGAACTTTGACGAGCAATCTCGAGCTAGATGTCCTCGCTTGAGACAGTTTCGGCAGAGTGACTGTGCTCGTAGAAACGACTCCCTGCTGGACAGCGACATTTTCAGGAAGTCTGGTCACGTATGTAGTCCATGAACCTCCGTACACGATGGGCACTTAGCGGTATTCCATTGTACGGCGTTTTGGCTGACCTTCGGTGTAAACGACTTCCGTTTGGGTTGCTGCGGCTCGTTTTTGAGTTCTGCCTTCGCTGGTAGAGACTCGAGGATTTGAATTCTCCGTTGTAAGAACTCCTGCAAGTCCTGTAGAGTGTCTTGCTCCTTAGCGGACGTGTGTTCCTCCCAGCCACGTCGAGTGACTGGATCCAGACGAGAACTCAGCAGTTCTACCAGCAGCAAATCCTTATATTTGGCTGGTTCGATGACTTGATCCAATATCTGAATCGCACGGTCGAATCCATCAGCCAATCTGTGAAGATCCGTGACCGATTCCTTGGCGAGTGAAGGTAGTTTGACCAGCGCTTGTACCTGTTTCCTCTTTAGTAGCTTACTGTTGTTGAAACGTTTTAGCAACGACTCCCAAGCTATTTTATAATTGACGCTAGTTATCTTTAGCGGATCTACTAGCACCTTAGCTTCGCCTGCTAAGCAACCTTTCAAATAGTGAAATTTCTCCACATCCGGAATTTCTGCCTTCTCATGGATCAAGGACGTGTAGAAATCCCTGAAACTCAGCCAGTCATCGATGTCTCCGTCGAAAGTCTGCAGCTTGATTTGCGGCAGGCGTACACGGTCCATTGTGCCATGTGTACTAGCGGTGTCTGCACTCCGTGTTGACTGGTTTAATGCTGATTCTTCCTGGAACTTCTTGGCCTTCTCCATCAAGAACGATTTCGCATCGTAGTAGCGATTCTCAAACTCCAATTGCTCATTTTCGACACCTTCTTGCTCTTCGTAGTCCTCATGCGATTCGATTTCCCAAGAAGTCTCACTAATTTGCTCCCACAACAAATCTATACGTTCGAAGCGGACATTGACCTGACTAGCTGTTGTACCCTCTTTATAAAACCTAACGAACTGACTAATGTTGTTTAACGACGCTCGAAGACCCTTGAGTTTTGACTTCAACACCTTCAAGGAGTCGGTTGACCTGGTAATCTTCGTTGACATGGTTGTTGTTGGAGAATCACGGAACGGAAACGAAGAACCAAGAGCCAGTCGTAAGTTGATAGGTACAAGTGATGCGTTGCTCCACGTGAAACGTTGAATGATCCGAGAACCGAAAGGAATCGGCGATGTAGTATGCAAATTGTCTGCTTCGGCTGGACATATACTGTTCAACTCACCTGTGAGAAGAACCAGTGGTGCTACCGAAGCCAGATAGCAGTAAATTTCAAAACTGTACACCTCAAAACGTTTGATCGGGAATCTCGGATTCCAATTCGAGCCAGTGAAGAGCGAAGGAGTGGAAAAGCGAATGTAGTAACCAATATTTGTGCTTCGGCTGAACATATACCGTTCGGCTAACCTGTGCAAACGACAGTTTGTGCCGACAGCCGAATCCAAATTGCCTCAAAATCACGATAACTATCCTTTCGAACCACGAAGTTGTAAAGCCTTATGGTAACAAGTCGGTAGATCGTATCGAAATCCAGTGCAGCGAAGGAGAAATGTACCAATGTAGTATCACAAGAGAGCCTGCTTCGGCAGGACATATACTTATTCTCACCTGGAGAACTACAGATGGCGCTGAACGTCGCGCAGAATGAAATATCAGCAGTCCGAAAACCAAAAAAAACCTCAGGGCTTGCGTCCAAAATAATTTGACTCGAACAGTCCAATTTAGCATCGAAAGGTAGAATTTATTTAGGTGCGGTATCAATCGAATCCAGCTTCAGCTGGGCATATACTATTCAAATGTAGTTACCTGGACACGATGATCGTTGAGCGATGCCCGAGCCTGAAAGCTATCACGTTGTCGCTGTCTCGTCTAGTCAGAGGGAAACACAGCGCCGAAATCGTCATCAATCGTAGTAGAAAACTGCGCCAAAATCGTCATCGATCGTCTAATAAATCACCACCGAATTCCTCCAAGTGGTTACACTCATCGGAAGATGCCCGAAATCGAGTTCTTCGTGAACTGATTCACCACTCCGTTGTTCGTCAATTCAGAAACAATCACACGATAAAGTCGAAATGTGGGTGTTAGTGGGATGTATTTCATGCTTCGGTGGACATATACATGTTCTACATACCTGGCCTGATAGCAGAACAACGCTCAGGTTGTCCTACAATCCCTTTTGATCCGTGATCCGTACAGTTCCAAATCCCCGAGAAATGATCGGTTGTTGTTGCTGTTGTTCCTACAGACGATTCAGTCGAAGGACGATGGCGAATATCCTCACTGTTGCTGCAGGATTAGGTGGTGTCGTTTGGCGGCAATTGATTCTTTCGCTATCTTCGACGATGGCGATTGGATCCCTTTGATACACTTCAAGGATGGCGATTGACACTATTGATGATCTATGCGATGGCGATGGTCTCTTTCAATGCACTTCAAGAATGGCGTGGATCCTTTGTGGGTTGCGAGTAGGCTGTTTGCTGGACGTGCAACGGCGCAAATTGACCGTCGAATTGTCGAAATTCGATCGATCCGTGAGTCCACCGGTAGTAGGGATCCGGTTCGAAGGACCAATTTATGTCGGGGACCGTCCCGACCGTTTGATGGTGACTTCTACTTGCCCGGCGAACGTACCCTTTCGTATCCTTTCCTCGACCAAATCCTTCTGTCATCCGTAGACCTTCCTTCACCGCATACAGAACACTACACCCTTTTTCACAAAATACCGTTTATTTTTCACTAAAGCACAACATTGATTTATTAACAACACTACATTTATTCTTACTAACTAAACATAAATTTCGTACGGGGTTTGCCCCCGGTTGACTACTCGCGACGGTGTACCTTTTAGACTAATTTTAGTTTCCTAATGTTTACATTTCTATTACTTATTCCTACTCCCACACTGTACGAAGACGATCCCTCTCCCTCTCCGTGCAGCTCGTGCGTAGTAGTGAGTGACCGCAGCGAATCGGTTCACTACCACTAGCCACCACACTCAACCGATTGGTAGCACCGTGGAGTACCTAAATCCCAGTCAGTGCGTTTACAATTGGCTGCATCCGCTGTTATTCTAGTTGCTCGCAAACAGATTTTATAAATACAGTTTAAAATAAGATACAGGCCGGACTCGATTATCCGGAGGCTCGATTAACCGGAGGCTCGATTATCCGGGGCTCGATTATCCGGTGAAAATGGCTCGAATATCCGGAGTCATATTTTTTTTACCTATCTTGCAAATTATTTTTCATAAACCGCTTGGAAAACCGATTTTCGATCCGAGGACTCAGTCTGACAAGATCGGGAAATGACTATATTTAAGTGTTTGTGTGCCTTTGTTACAAAATCCGGCGCTAAGGGGTTTTGGATTAACCTTTGACCTGAAAGGAACCAAACATATCATGTGCCACAACAACATACAAAAACTGAATCCCATGATGGTCCATTCACTAATAACGTCACGTTTCAGGGGGGGGGGGAGGGTATGGGAACCGAACAAAATTTTTGAAGATCCGTAAAAAAATGTACCAAAAGGCCTTTAACCCTCCGTTACTCGCGCTGTTGTAATTTGTACAACACACATGATTTTTTCCATTGCCATTTTGGTGCTGTCGATTGGTAACGATCTGAAACCAACGAGTATTCCTCAAAAACTTGTTTTGATCTAAACAAGCTAAACTAAAGATTACAGTAAAC